TGCCTCACACATGCTAGGCAAGCACTCTGCCACTGAGCCATGACCCCAACCCTCCTTTCACTCTTTTAGCTTCTAACAACAAACCCTGTAATTTCTTAAGTCTTCTAGACACAGAGCATGAAAGGCTACAACAATCCAAGATGAATTTATTCAAGAAAAATAATTGCATCTTGGAGCAGGAGCTTTGTAGCATTTGCACTTCCCTAATCTCACACACCCTTCCTCAAATCCATGATGGCTTTCAAAACTAATAGCCGTACCAATAAAACAGCTGAAAACCAGCAGCCTAGCCACCACTAGAAGGGCAGAACAGGTTTAAAGTACACCAATCCACCAAGTTCTCCATCCTTAGGAAACCTACTTCATAAATTTCTGGCAGCTCACATTTGGTTTCCTTTGCCTGATCTGACTGTGCAAACAGCAACAGCCCTATCCCCAGAGCATTGCTGAGAAAAACTCAACATTATACCTGCCTATGATGGTGTTACTAATTGAAGCTACTCAGAAGCTGAGCAAAAAATGAAAAAAAAAAAATTAAAGTTGACAATGAGATGTCCGTGAGGGGCTTTCAAAAGTTCCAACATCCCTGGGAATCCAAGAGGCTACAGTAATGGCAGGCCTGTGTGCATGCTGAGGGCTGTGCAGATATCCAAGGAAGACCTGACAAGGCTCTGATCTCTTAACTTTAGGCTACCCTTGAGGCTCTGTGCAATCAGAAATTGACAACTAAGGCAGAGTTGTCAACTGCCAAATGTTGAGAGTATGCCAACACACACACAGCCCTTCAGCAATACAGGAAGACTTATCAGTTCCATCTAGAAATCTTTCCATTCCTTAACTGTCAAAGTAGAGATTTCCCTGGCCACGTGGAAAAAGAACAGACTATACAGAATTAGTCTAAGAAAGAAGAAAAAAAGGTGTAACAACTACATCAAACACAGAGGGGAGAACATGATTTCTAGAATTACTCTATTACATGCCTTTAAATGTCCAGTTTTTAATAACAAAAATACTGGCAAAGAAGCAAAACTATGGCCCATACATTGGTGATAAGAAAAATAATCAGTAAAAAATGTTGCTGTGGGAAACCAAACATTTGACTTACTAGAGACTTTAAATCAGCTATTATGTTTTCCAGGAACTAAGTTATAGGGGCTGGGATTGTGGCTCAGTAGTAGAGTACTCACATGTGAGAGACCCTGGGTTCGATCCTCAGCACCACATAAAAATAAAGACCTGACAAGGATCTGATCTCTCAGAGCACCACATAAAAATAAACAAAATAAAGATATTGTATCCATGTATAACTAAAAAAATATTTTAAAAAAGAACTAAATTATAGCTATAGAATTTAAAGACAATATGGGAAACAGTGTCACATCCATTAGATATTACTCATTATTATCAATAGAGAAATTATGAAAAAGAAACAAATTTTGGAGTTGTAAAGTATAACAAATAAAAACTTTCCTAGTAGGATTTGACAGATTTGAACTGGCAGAGGAATCAGAAAACACAAAGGTCAATTGAGAAAATCTCAACTGAAACAATCAGAAAGAAAAGAATGAAGAACAATGAGCAGATCTCAGAGACCTGTGGGATACCATCATATACACCAACATACACATAAAGGAAGTCTCAAAACGAGAAGAGATAGAAAAGGGGAAAGAAAGAATGTCTGAAAAAACAACAGTCAACAACTTCCCACAGCTGATGAAAAATAATCTGCATATCAGAATCCCCACCTTGACACTTCAGACTGTCAGAAGCACAGAGAGAGCTGGGGATGAGGCTTGGTGGTAGGGTGCTTGCCTAGCATGGATCCCCAGTACCACCCAAACACACACAAAAAAATGCTGATGAAAGCAGCAAGAGATTGGGGGCTGGGGATGTGGCTCAAGCGGTAGCGCGCTTGCCTGGCATGTGTGCGGCCCGGGTTCGATCCTCAGCACCACATACCAACAAAGATGTTGTGTCCGCCGAGAACTAAAAAATAAATATTAAAAATTCTCTCTCTGTCTGTCAGTCTCTCTCTCTCTCTCTCTCTCTCTCTCTCTCTCTCTCTCTCTCTCTCTCTCTCTCCCCTCTCTCAAAAAAAAAAAAGAAAGCAGCAAGAGAAAATTAGCACATCACATATCAGTAAACCTCGATAAGATTAACAACTGACTTGTCATCAGAAACTATGGAGGCTAGAAGGCAATGTGATGACATCTTGAATGAAAGGGAAAAAAACAAAATATATCTAGCAAAATATTCTCCAAAAATGAAAGACAATTTTTACATAACTCTTCACACCTACTGTGATGGATATGATTTTTTTTCAAAACACAGAAAATTAGTTATTAAGGATATGGGAAACTAGAACCCTTTTACATGGCTGCTAGGAATGTAAAATTGGGGCAGGGAGGGGGATCAGTAGAAAATAATATGGCAGTTCCTCAAAGTTAAACATAGAAGTACTATATTATCCAGCAATTCCACTTCCATGTAGGTATCCAAAAGAATTGAAGAAAGGGGCTAAAATGGATACCATATACCAAAGTTCATGACATTCCAATAGCCATAAAGAGGAAACACCCCAATGGGCATCAAGAGATGAAGGAATGAATAAAACATGGTATCTACACTCAATTGAATATTATGCAACCATAAAAAAGAATGAAATGCTGATATACGCTTCAGTGTGAAAAAAATCTTGAAAACGTAGATTTGATTAAATAAGCCAGTCACAGGAAGACAAATATTGTGTGAATCCACTTATATGAGGTACTCATAAAATAGAAGCATAAAACAGAATGGAAGATACAAGAGTTTGGAAGTAGGAATAAGAGATTACTATATAACTTTTCTGTTCGGGATTATGAAAAAGTTCTAGAAATGGATAATAGTGATAGATAATTAAACAACTTGTGAATGTATTTAATATCAATAAATTGCACATTTATTTTAAATTTTATGTGTATTTTGCCATAAGAAAAGCCACAAAAGAATTTTTCAGGAATGCATAATAAACTATTAGAAACTAATAAGTTCATTGGTGTTGCAGGCAGGATATGACATCAATATATAAAAGCCTATACTAAACCAGGCACAGTGACAAACACATGTAATCCCAGTGGCTCAGGAGGCTGAGGTAGGAGGATTTCGAGTTCAAAGCCAGCCTCAACAATGGTGAGGTGCTAAGCAACTCAGTGAGACCCTGTCTCTAAATAAAATACAAAATAGGGCTGGGGATGTGGCTCAGTGGTCAAGTGCCCCCCAGTACTCCCCACCAAAAAAAAAAAAAGTCTATATTATTTGTATACACTAAGAATGAACAATCAAAAATGAAATTAAGAAAATAATTCAATTCAACATGAAAGGAATAAAATATAGCTATGTGCCACACAACATTCTGGTCAACCACAGACTATATATAGCAGTGGTCTCAAAATTATAATGGGACTGGAACAAAGTTGAGAAAAAGGCAAGGGAAAAGGGAACTGATGGAGGAAAATAAAAAAGAATCCTCAAGAAAATTCACAGTGAAGAGTTTGGTACAAGCTTTGTGGAGAAGCTCCTTAAAAAGTGTAAAAGCTGGGGTTGTGGCTCAGTGGTAGAGCACTTGCCTAGCATGCATGAGGCACTGGGTTTGATTCTCAGCACCGCATACAAATAAATAAAATAATGGTCCAACAACAACTAAACAAATTTAAAAAAAAAAATGTGAAAGCAAGCTGCTCGTGGTGATGCACACCTATAGCAGGAGGATACAAGTTTGAGGCCAGCCTTAGAAATTTAGTGAGGCCCTAAGCAACTTAGTGAGATCCTGTCTCAAAATAAAAAATAAAAAGGGCTGGGGATGTGGGCTTATAGCTCAGTGGTAAAGCACCTCTGGGTTCACTCCCCAGTACCAAAAAAAGAAAATGCACTGGGGATGGCCCAGTAGTTAAGTACCTCCAGGTTCAATCCCTAGTACAAGGGAAAAAAATCTTTTTCTCTTTCTTCAATAATAAATTAACTAGGGCTTACTATAATTAAGTCACTGCACCTGGATCAGATTTTTTTTATTTTTTATTTTTTTATAACTTTAGTGTAACCTAGTGTTTCTGTCCAGCAAGTGCAACAACAATGTGGTGTTAAGTCATGATACCGGTCCTCCTCGCAGGGGACTAAGTCCTTGGAAAACCAGGACAGCATGAAAACAATCATGTTACATCATGGAACCACAGCTGGTTCCATGTGTATACAGATGGCCTCTTCAAAGGGCTCAAGATAGGCACAGGGACTTACCATCCAATTAGGCCACCTTCCTTCAGGCATGTTTTCCATCCAGGATGTGATGACTTCATGCACAATGTTCCCAGAAAGATCGTCCAGTGTGGTGAGGTAATAGTTGAAGGGAAAATCCGCTTCCTGGGTAAATGGCAATCCATAATACATCATGGTCCTGTCGATGCTCTCTGCCTGGGCTTCGGCTCCCATGAACCTGTCAGAGTTGGCAGGGTTTGAGGCCCTCAGGGCCTGTCAGGAAGGACTGGCTAAAGACTCTGCATCTTGTTTATATCTTATTTTTAAAATGTGGGGGCTAAACACACACTATTAGCCAGATAGGGGCAGGGCTCATTAGAAAGCAGTCAAGCCAGGTGGCCCAGAAAGGTCACAGTGGGTCACCTGTGGTGTCTAGGGCAGTGTATTAATGGGTCCCTGCACAATCTTGGGCCCAGTGCCTCAGTTCACATCCCATCTTTGCCATCACTACCCACAGGACCATCGCCTGCGTGCTCAGAGCTTCGTCTCCTCATCTAGAAAGTGGAGATGATAATCAGAGCACCACTTCAAGGAGGGAAAATTTCTTAAGCTTCTTTTTCTATTGATTCTATTGGTGACCAGTACAAACTAACGCAGGTTAAGTATCCCTTAACCAAAATTCTTGGGACCAGAGTATTTCAGATTTTGGAGGGTATTTTTTTTTAAGATTTTATAGTATTTACCTAGACTTTTACTAGTTGAAAATTCCTGATCCAAAAATCATAAATCAAAAATGGTCCAAAATTTTCAGATTAACCTTGAGTTAATTTTGTAGAATATTATATGCCAGGCACTATTTTAGGTGCTTTATGTACATTATCTCATTTATCTTATAATAACCTTTTAAAAGGTTATTACTATTACCTTTGTTTTTTTTTTTTTCCTTTGATGGTGCTTCTGGGAATTGAACCCAGGGCCTTGTGCATGCAAGGCAAGCACTCTATCAATTGAGCTATATCCCTAGCCCCTACCATTACCTTCTTATTGATGAGAAAACAGACTTATGTTAACCAACCAGCCCAAGACCAACCAGCTATGGAGCCAGATTCCACCTCAAGCCCATCTGAGTCCAAAGCTGTGTTTCTAAGCATTGTGATATACTGACAGGTTGATTCCAACATTTGGATTCATACTCTACAGGGAAATATAGTCCCAGTAATAATGATAAAAATAATAGTTCCTGGCTAACACTTAACTACTAAATTACCTTTTAAATTAATTTAATTTTTATAAAACTCTGAAATCAGTGCTGTCATTAGCAAAGTCCCACAAAAGAAGAAACTGAAAATCAACTGTGTGACAAGATATAGCAGACCCTCGCATAACCTAGCTGAAATAAAATTATGCAGTCTTATTAAATTATGACTTGGAGCTCAGACTATGCCTCACAACCATGTGAGGTTTAAACTACAGATCACACTCTGTGCCTATAAAGAACAAAAGGAGTCCTGTGGTCACCTGTATCTGCCAGGCTCCCGGCTGTATTGGTCCATGGTCTGCCGGAAGCTCCGGACAAGGTCGTGCATTCCCACTTGCGTGGTGGTGAAGTCGTGATACAGCTCTGAGTAGTGTGTGACAGTGTCCTTTGAAAACCAGGACAACAGGAATGCCATCATTTCACATGTCGCATACCCACAGCCAGCTCCATATGAATACAGACAGTCTCTTCAAAGGGATCAAGCTGAGCAAAAGAGATGCTCAGAGATGATCCTGGCAAGACCTCCCATGCTCAAGGGTTTGTGGACTGACAGACAGTATTCACAACTATTAGTACTTCATTTGATTAACTGTTAACTTTATAAATCTAGTAAACAATAATTAGTTAACAAAGTCCTCCTACCCACGTGATTCTGTAAGTGCTTCAGACACTTATAAAGGCAAGCAAATGATCCTAAGGATTATAGAGCTCATCATTATACTTTTATCTATTCACACAGATATCAGTATTGTGTATTTAAATTAGTTTCTTTACCATATTTATCTTTCGTTTTTACTATTACAGTTTCTCAGGGTTTCAGGTTTTTCCTGATATTCATTTCTCTGCCTTCCTAGGATTATAAGAATCAAAAACAAAGGACTACATCCCATACAAGCCAAGGTTTTAGGTCCTGGGTTGGGACACGGACTGATTGAACTGGCCAACCTAACTTGAGGTCCTTGTGGTAGATTTTTTTGCCTTCCATACTTTTTATTAGTGCACTATAGTGTACATAATGAGTCCTGATTCATAGTGAGATAGGCATGGTTCAGAAATCTGTTTATCACTTCTATAACCGTTGATATGCTAAGTTCTCTAAGGTTTGGTAAATGGGGGATCATGAAACTTCTCTAATAGGCGGTTACAAGAATTCAATGCACTATAAAAGTGCATGTTGCATACCACGGACACCCAGCCAATGCCTGTTCCCTTCCCTTCTGTCTATCTAACCTGGAACAATTAACTAGAAAAGATGCTGGGGACCTCCTCACTTGAGCTTGAGTGAGATGATAAAATCTCAGTGAGCAAACTGTCCTCCATTCTAGGTCCTTGGTAGAGTTCACTCTGTGCCCTCAGAACCTTCATGAAAGGACAAAGATGAATAACTCCTCCAGGGATCCCTTACTCTGGAAAAAGCCAGAAGAAAACGTCTGAGTGCCTGAATTAGAAACCCCCATGCCTCCTAAGAAGTAGTGCGGCTAGGTACCTCCCACAGATGGCACAGGACTTGCCTTTGTAATTGGCACCTCAGGCTAATAAGGGAAACCCTGATGCATTTTCAGAAATTTTAAAACCTTACCGGGCTTTGTAACTTATTTACTTGAATCTCATCTCTCAGATGCTTTGCTTCTAGAAGAAATTTAACAGCATCAAAACTAAAGCCATCAACACCTTTTGCAAGCCAAAACTGTATTATTTCCTAAACAGGAAGAAACAAAACACTTAGTTACACATGATAATCATAATGATTAATAAAGGCTTTTTTTTGCAAATGACTTTCCATCATAAATAGATATTGCCACATACAAAGCAAACACAATATCCATGCATTCGGCTATTTATTAATTTCATGTAACTGTCTTAGTATAATGAACTCTCAAGTAACTTCCTTTAGGGATACTCACGCCTCCTTCATATTTGAATTCGGAGTTATAATTACATTTATAACTGATATGATGAGCATATTTCCAAAGTTTAGAGAATCCAATCAAAACTTAAGAAACCATCATGAAAGATAGGACTCCAGAGAATCTGTGACAGTACCTCATCTCCATCTTGCCCAACTCCTTAACTATCACTCCAGCTCAAAGTAACAACCAATTGTTCAAGAGTTAAATGCTTCACTCCTTATCAGGAAGGCAAGTGAAAGGTAAAGAGCTTGGGTGGTCAAGGATTTCCTATTGAGAGCACTATGGAAGAAACACAAGACCAAGCAGAAAGAATCAACCATCAACCAGGAAAACAAAGAAGAAAAAGAGTGAAGATCAGGTGGTAGAACTCAGCTGCAAACATCTTGAATACCCTCAGATAATAAAAGGTAAATAGCACATTATCCAAAGAAGCCACTATTTTATTGTCCTTCACAAAGAAATTGACCCCAGCTAAAATAGTTTTCATACATTTTATTAGATTCTTTCAAAGATGTCTGATGGACACCAGAGTGAATGTCCCTGGCTTTCTCTACACCCCTGCCTGATTCCCAACACATCCTTGCTAAAGAGAAGGTAGCTTTTGCATGCCCAGCCTCCTCCCTGGCACACCTGCTGTGCTGGCCTGCCCGGACTCAAATGCTGAGTCCAATGACTGAAGAGATGAAACCAAGACTGCAAACATGGCCCTCAAGGAAGGAGCTTGAGAAGAAGGAAATGGGACGTGAGAAACACGGAGAGGATAGAGGAGGCAGCTTCTGGATATGCATGAATGGGAGGCGGAGAAACGGGATTTCCTTTCCTTCCAGGCAGTCTCAGGTGTAGGGCTGAAGGCATGGGTGTGTGACCTGTGCAACTGCACTGCGCCCCTGGCTCAGAAGGGCCTCGCGCTTGGTTTAATACTCCAGCTCTTGATTTCATTGTCATGAACTTTTCAATGATTTTAGAACAAGGGACCCTGAACTTTCATTTTGCATGTGACCCCACAAATGATGTAGTGAGTAATTTAGAGGTACCATGAGAAAAACAATGCAAGGTAAAGGGGGCCAAAGAGCGAGTTTAGATTGTGTAGGCAACATTTCAACAGGGAAAATAAAAAATGAGGGAGAAGCCACGAGGAGGCATGGTCCATGGGGAGGTATGGAATCATGGGAAGGTATGGTGCTGTGTGTAGGTACATGGAAGAGCACAGATTCCTTGAGCAATGAAAAGAGGGGACAGTGTGGTTGGACTCATCACATCTAGCTTAGTAGTTATTGGGAACAACTTGGGATCTGTTGGGCACAGGGATAGGAAACCCCTGGAGGGTGTTCAGCAGAAAAGCCTATGGTTTGTCTTACACTTTCAAAGATTTGATGTATGCAGAACAAACTGGTCAGTCTGACGTCTCCTCAAAAAGTGAAATAGGAGGTTACACTGAGACCTACCTAGCAATTCCACACCTAGGTACATATCCAAGAGAGGTGAAAAAGTGGGTCCCCACCAAACCATGTACACAGTGGAGGTTCACAGCAGCCTGATCCATAAAAGCCAAAAAGCTGAAATCACCTCCCAAGACACAGCCATATAATGAATATTATCTGTCCATAAAAGGTACAGAATACTGATGCATGCTACAACTTAAGAGGAATCTTGGAAACATTTTGCTAAATGAAAGAAAGACACAAAGGATAAATATCGTAGGACTCTATTTATATAAAATGTCCAGAACGGGCAAATCTACAGAGACAGAAAGTACATTAGTGGTTGCCAGGGGTTGGGATAATGGGTGAGCAATGAGTGCTAAAGCATCCGAGCTTTCTTCTCTGGGGTGATGAAAATGTTCTAAAATTAGGTTGTGATAATGGTTCTACAATTTTATGAACTCACTAAAAAACTGAAACTGTATACTTTGGGTAAATTTTATGGTATGTGAATTATATATTAAAAAATCTGTTGCCAAAAGAAAAAAATTAAATAAGCCTGAGGATTCCTTTTTGTTTTTTAAATATTTATTTTTTAGTTATAGGTGGACAATATCTTTATTTTTTATTTTTTATGTGGTGCTGAGGATCAAACCCAGTGCCTCACGTGTGCTAGGCAAGTGCTCTACCTCTGAGCCACAACCCCAGCCTTGAGGTCTCCTTTTAGGAGCCTACCCTGGTGGCTTGGAGTGGGGAGACAATGTGGAAGAGGCAGATGTTGAATCTGCTCTGAGGGTGGAGCTCCCCGGTCTGCTGGTGGTGTATGGGCATTGTGAAAGAAAGAGGGGTCAAGACTAACCCCTAGGTTCTTGAACTGAGTGACTGTGTGCCACTCACCAGAGGCAACAGCTGGTTGAGGGAGAAAGATGGAATGTTCTGACTTAGACACATCAAGTTTGAGGTGTCTGCTGCACATGTAGGAGGGGATGCTAAGGTGGCTGGTAGCTTGTGAAATCTAGATCTTAGAGCTGGTTGTGGTGACACACACCTGGAATCCCAGCACCTTGGGAGGCTGAGGCCAGGGGATTGTGAGTTCAAAGCTAGCTCAGCAATTTAGCAAGGCCCTAAGCAACTTAGTGAGATGCTGTCTCTAAAATATAAGAAGGGCTGAGGATGTGGCTTGGTGGTTGAGCATCCCTGGGTTCAATCCTCTGTACAAAAAAAAAAAAAAAAAAAAAAGTGGAGCTTAGGGCAGGGCTGTGATTACAGATATAAATCTGGGAGCTAAGCAGCCTAAAAACATTTGTCAAGTAGCTTGCTCCTTGTTCCAGCAACAAGGGACAGAAGCAGAGCCTGCTTCCACCCTCCCTTATAAACCAACGGTCACAAAGGACTCCTCCACCTCACTGGAAAATTCTTGAGGGCAAGAGTGGCTGTTGGTTCTGTTACCTTAGCCTCTGACACAGCACCTGGCCCTCAGTGAACTCTTGATGGAATGAGAGTGAAGTCTGCAGCGTGAGGAGTCACACACTGGCATCATCCATATGTCAACAAATCCCAAACTTTATGCCTAGAGAACAACTCCCCAATTCCCGTATCCTTATATCCAGCTCTCCACTGGACCCTTGGATGTCTCACAATGAGCTCAAACTCCACCCAACAATGCCCTCCTTCCTATTCTTGCATCTTCCAGTTTAGCAAATGGCACCACAATCCACCCAGTATTCAACTCTGAAACCTGGAACTCACATTGAACTCTTAAGTTCTAATGACTTCTCTACACCCTACAACACCTTTGCTGGTCCAAGTATTTCCATGTTACTGCACTGCCCCCCTCTCTGAGCCCTCTGCCTCCAAACCTGACTTACTCAAACCCATTCCCAAAAACTACATTGATTATTCAATATGCAAATATTCCTGCCTAAAACCTTTTAAATTCAAATCCTTACCAGAACTTTCAGTGCTGCCCATGACTCAGCCCCTGCTGACCACTCTAGTCTCACTGGATCAAATCACTCTCTCTATATACACCATGTTCCAGCCATATTGATAACTCCCAGCACCACTGCCATGCCATGATTCATGCTCTCCCTGAAACACCCCGACCCATGCCTCTTCCCTTGGCTCGCTCCAGTTCATCCCTGACATCATTGGCTCCTGTGCAAACTCATCCTTCCCTGATCTCCCCCACTCTGTCTGGGTGAGGTGCCAGTCCTCTCTACTCCTACTTCCACTGTCATGACCACTCAGAACACTCTATTGTAATCACTGTTTGTTACCTTCCCTCACAATACAAGTCCTATGACAGTCACAAAGTGTATCTTTTCAACCACCCTACTCCTAGCACATGGCCAACACACTACACATACAGTGTGTTATGGTTCGGATGTGAGGTATCCCCCAAAAGCTCAGGAGTGAGACAATGTAAGCAGGTTCAGAGGAGAAATTATTGGGTTATGAAAGTCTTAACCTAATCAGTGAATTAATCACATGATGGGATTAATTGAGTGGTAACTGAAGGCAGGTAGGATGTGGCTCAGGAGGTGGAGCACTGGGGCATGGCTTTGGAGTATATATTCATACTTGGCAATGGGAAGATCTCTCTGCTTCCTGAACATCCTGTGAGCTGCTCTCCTCCGACACACTCTCTGCCATGATTGTTCTGCCTCACCTTGAGCCCTAAGGAATGAAGCCAACTTTCTATGGATTCAGACTTCTGAAAGTGTGAGCCCCTAAATAAACTTTTCCTCCTCTAAAACTGTTCTGGTAAGGACTTTTAGTCACAGAGGAAAAAAAAAAAAAAGCTGACTAAAACACAGTGAAATGAGTACATGATCATAACAGAGCACCTGGTATATAGAAGGTGTAATAAAGGGTATAATTATCTTCAAGTAGAGCTAGTGTTTAAAGGAGGTAGTGAGTGAACTGAATTTTATTTCATTTTTAATTTCTTGGTACTAAGGATTAAACCAATGGGGAGGCTTTATCACTGAACTATATCCCCTGTCCCTTTTTTTTTTTTTTTTTTTTTTTTTTTGGTATCAGGGATTGAACCCAGGGGCACTCAACCACTGAGTCACATCCCCAGCTCTATGTGGTATGTTATTTAGAGACAGGTCTCACTGAGTTGCTCAGGGCCTTGAACTTGTGATCTTCCTGCTTCAGACTCCCAAATAGCTGGGATTGCAGGCATGAGCCACCGCACCTGGCTATGAGTGAACTGTGTTTGAAATTGAGCTGCCCACCTCCAGCAGCACTGTGTTCAGTAAGGGAAAAGCAGAACCTATGCTTATGCTCTGGGTTCCATCTTAAGCTGGGAGTGCCTCTTGGCTTCTCATCCCCAGCTGCAGGGAGTATCATGACTCCCC